ATGATGATGAAGGAATTGATTGATGAAGAAGGCAAGGCAAGATGAGGAATTGGAAACTGGGAAAAATAAAAAAAAAATTTCTCTTTTTTTTTTCTGTGGATACTTGCTGAGGAACTAAGAGAGCTATGTTGTTCTAGGTTCAAATGTGAAGAAAGAGGGAGAAAGGTTCAAGCATTGCAAGAGGTGGGGCCCACTCTTTTTTTAGTTTGGTTTTGGGTCAAAATCATACTGCCATATCATCTTTTTTTACAGGTGTGCATATGAGGTGTCACTTTATTTTGACATGTCATCATGTTTCCATTAATTAATGGGACACGTCACTAGATTTTTAACGGAGGGACTAAATTAGGGTAAAAATGGTAAACAGTAGGGACTAAATTAGGGATTTTTTGAATTGAGAGACTAAATCAGGGATTTTTTGAATTGAGGGACTAAATCAGGGGTCCGTATAATAGTTGAGGGACCAAAATAGGGGTTTTACCTATTTATAACCTGTCCACGTGTTCCTTTTTAACCGATAAGTGGGATCATATGCGTCGATCACTACGAAAATCTCTTATATAAGGATTAAGCACGTGTAGATCTACTGTAGTTTTAGTGTAAAAGGGACGAGCTTGACGTGGACTGCAACTTGGCTGCTAAGGGATGGGCAAGCAAGTTTAGGGGCGTCCGAGGTCGTTTACCTCGGACTACCTTCACATGTATTTATTTTGTACGTGAGAGCCATATAGCCATTGCTTCTGTGGTTGAAACTTGAAATTAGAGGTTTCCCTTTTCTTGAGTGGTTATTGAAGTCTATTATGTATTTTGAGTGTGGATTGCGCTGCTCTTTTTTTTTTTTTTTTTGGAAGAAATATTGATTGAATTTATTCCATGTTGAAATCATTATTTGTTTAGACATGTTCAGTAATGGGTTGAGCTTGAGAGTTCTAATTTGTTTAATTGTGATTGCCCTTAAATTGCTTTTGCTTAGTGGTGGTAAATAGATTTTTACAAAGAAAATAAGCTTGATAAGTTTGTGAATATTTACTTTTTATTAAGTTTCTAAAAATCTATATAGTTTTTATTTTTATTTTTATTTTTATTATCACAGTACTTATTTGTGAATATGGCCAGTTACACTTGTGGACACACTTACATGCAAACATCTTGCATGCTCATCCCTTTGTCCATGTGCTTTTTGTTTCTCTTTTGTTGTGTGCTCTTTTGCACCCTTAGCTGTAGTGTTATGATTCAGTGAAGTTTCCTTAGTCAAGAGTTGTTGTACGCTCATTTGATATTTAGCATACCCTGTACGCCATTGCAGATTATGCAAACAATTGGATTTATGGGCTTTGCTTTCTTCGTCACACATTTGAGCTGTTATTTTGTTGCATTTAACTTTCATATTTATTAAGAATGGGAATCAATTTATTTATGAGTAGGCCAGTTGCCATTTTAAGCATTTTTCCAATGTAGATCCCTGTTCTATGTGAAGGACAAAGATCAAAACTTGCAAAAATTCGTGAATGATGGAGATGAAGATCGTCTGTATACTACACCATCATTGGCAGCCCTTTCAAGTGCAATGAGGTTTCTTCAAAGGTGTAAAGAATTCATTAACATTCACATTTCTCATAATCATGCTAGATGATAGGCACGTTTGATTATTCTGTGCTGAGTGCATTTATTGTTTAGAACATAGATATGAATTCAAGAATAATCATGTTAAATGGATCACTAGAGTGAAAACTGATATAAGTCCAGTAATATCTGAACGGGTATGGGAAGCAGTTAGAAAAACAAAAGAAAATATTGATGGTTGCCACTTTATAAAAATCGGGTTGCGGGCTACTCTTTATACTCTTCTTGGGGCACTTTTCCTTTTTTTAGTCTTCCTCTAGTAAATCTAGAGTGTAAACAAATCATGAGAAAAGTTATTCATGATTCTTTTTTAGTCTAGTTGCTATTACATGAGTTGTGACGTTCAAAGTATATTCTTTCATTGTATATATGTGACAAAATGTTTTGTTTGTTCTTTTTATCATTATCAGAGAAATTTAAAATAGAACATGCTAAGGAATAAGAAAATTCAATCTATATCTATGTATATATTAAGAGAGAAACCAATGTAGGAGAGTATGCCAGGCGTCAACTTAATAATCTTTCCCGCATTTACAGATTTTTTAAGAAAGTTAAAGATTTTTATTACTCTCGATATTTTTACAGTTCTGCATTTCTGCGTCCTCCTCCCTTTCTCTACCACTCTCCACGTTCCTTTCCCTCTTTCAAAAGTTTTTTCTGTAAAACCTTTCAAATTCTTCAAAACCTCTCCAATCTTGCTTGGTTTTTTTCCCATCGATCCCTCTTTTCCGCTCACCTTATCTATGTTCAAACCAATCAGACCTCCTCTTTAACAAGCTTATGACATGTCTATGTTTGGCATTTTTCTTTTAGCCAATTAATTCACTAGAAGCATACCAGATTCACTCTCTTCTCTGAACCTATTGACAGATATGAAAGCTTTGGCCCCTTTTTTTTTTTTTTTTGTGATTATCTTAGTTGATACCTTGCTGGCAGTGCTTTCATTTCCTGATGAGCAAACTAATTCATGGCTTCATGACATATATTCTTTTATTCTTTCAGGTCTCTAAACCACAATCTTTTGAATGGAAAATGAAGTGCAAAATTTACATCTTTGCTTTGTCTAAGTTAATAAATAACTCACTTTTGGGTAATAATTACTAATTTTGACTTATCAGATTTGATTTTCTCCCTTATATTTTTCATTCATTTTAAATTTTACAGGGCATTTTATTAATGTTTTAAATTAATAAATAAAATATATTAAATCAAAGAACTACCCCTCCCTTAATCTTATACTTTTATCCATTTTGTTTCTTTTATTTTTTTATTTTTTTATTTTTTTCAATTTTAACTCTTTTCTGGCTTCATGCATAGGGGTTGTCTGTGATTTCGTATTGCCTTGGCTTTAAACTTAGAGTTTATTGATTTCATGAATCAATGAACTCTTTTATTGGAATAGTTACCTTTTTTGTTCATGCAATTGTATAATGGTTGGCATAAACAGTTATTAGCTTCATTGATGGGTTAGCATGTCTGAATAACTTCGCACTAGATTTATGGGTTTGTCTGATCAGCTGGCGACGAGTGAATGAATGCTTTCACTTATGTATGTAGGGAGGATGTGTGCTGATATCTGTAGAGTATCATAAAATTAGAATATATATTACCTCATTTTGTTAAGTATTTAGAGAATCC